ATAAAATAATCCACTATTATTGTTTTAGTATATTTAATATTGAAAAATAACTACTTTTATCTGTTTTCAATCAAGTTGAAGCTAAAAATAATTTAACCAACGATTAAATAATAGTTCTCGTGAGCAAGATAATTCAAACTCTTATGTTCATTATATTACTTCTTACGATCAAGTACGTTTGAGAAATATAAAATCGACAACATCTAGCCTTGAACAAGAACCTTTTATAAACTCTTATTAAACTCAACAAACTTTATTATAATAGTACATGTAGTTATCCAAGTACACACTCTTAGATTAGTTACAAATCCACTATCCATTATTTAATCAATATAATTAATTTCTTAAGATTCCTTTCAAGTAGGTAGCACAGATTCACCATAACTTCCACCCCCCCCCCAAAAAAAAAAAAATGACACCCCAATCCTGGTGGGGTAGATGGCCTATTTGAGTTTGCAGTGTCTTTTATTAGTTTCTATTTATGGTACGATTTCTGGCTGGTTGAATTTTCTTATTTTCATGTTACCTGAGAACTTGTGTGTGAATCAATTCAGCATTGTGGTCCTGTTTTCAGAGCATTAAATAGTTGTTTTCTCTCTTGGAATGTGCAACTATTTATGACGTGTTCTGTAGGGATTAAAATCGGGTTAAAATTGAAAAATTAATCGTTATTGTTGACTTTTATTAGACTAGTGAGACTCAATAACAACTATATTTTTAATTTTAATTGGATTTTAAGATTAGCCAAACACTCTTAGGTTGTTTGAACCGAGCAATTTGTTTTGTGATTGATATTTCAATTAATAAAATGGCAGTGGCTGTCTAAAAATTAAAAAGATTTGAAACTTTGAATTTTGAATGACAACATAAAAATTTTGAGATGAGGGTCCGTTTGATTGTAATTGTGGAAAATGGGTGGAAAGAAAATGAATTTTAGAGAAAATAATTGACTAGAACTTGTTTTCTAGATGTTTTCTAGAGAATTGTTAATTAAGTGTGTTTGATTTGTATAATTTTCCACTCGAAAAATTATAAAATTTTGAATTTTTTTTGTGTTCGTTTGGCTTTATTTTACAAGAAAATTGTCCATTAAAATGATAATTTTTTCCACAATTGGTTATAACATTTGTTTCAATTGCCAAAAAGTTAAAAAAAAAAAAAAAATCATTTTTTCATCAAAATTTAGTATTCGTTTGACTTTGTTTTATATGAAAATTGTCCATTAAAATTAAATTTTGTTTACAATTGGTTATAAAATTTGTTCCAATTATTAAAAAAAAAAAANTGGAAATCAGTTTTCCTACCAAACTAATTCCACATTTTGGGTGAAAATGTGCACATGTGGACATTAGTAGGAAAAAAAATTTCATGGCAAAAAATGACTATCATACAAGCCAAAACATTGAAAATGGAAATTATTTTCTAACTTCCATGGAAAATAATACATATCAAACAGAGCCTAATATAATGCGGTTGCCTCACTACTGGTATGTAAGAGCAAACTCTTGTCTAGTCGAGTTTTGAATGGTTAGAAGTGGATAATAGAATACAGTATTAGCATTTGTTTGACACAACTTATTTAAAAATTATTTTTACTTATACTTATTTTTAACCATACATTTTTTTAATAAAATTATTTTGCACATAGACTCATAATTTTTGTACTATTTAAAAACGCATTCTCCGAAAGAATTATTTTTCATTTCAAATAATATCTCCGAAATAAACACTTAAATGATCAAATATGAACCGTGAACGCCACATATAACAAGAGATACATGTACAAGGTTGTTTCAAGGCACACGACAATTGAAAATTAATATAAATAATTTTTATAATATTCTTTAAAGGGCACATATCCTACTTGTTGAGCTCGTCTCGTTCATTTTATAAGTCTTTGATTGAATCTTTTGTAACACCTGAACATAACTACTTTGGGGTGACACCATTATTGTATCGACCTAACTTCCTTAATAATTTAGTACTTTGAACTTATCTGTTTCATTTGAAGTTGCAAATGATAGGACTAAAAAACTTTTGAGTGCCATGAATAGAGACCCTTATATTATTATTATTATTTCACTAATCATTGAAGTATGTACAGAATTACATATTGATCCTTAAAGTATTTTTTTTTTATCTTATTTATCACTAATATTTTACAAGTATAAGATATCGTAATCAAGTAATAAAAAATGAGCAAGACGTCATTCCCTAAATTCATCCAGATAATTAATTAACTAACTAATGGGGAACTAAATACTTAATCTAGTTTTAATTAAACTTAACGTTAATAAAATAGCAAGATTTTGGAAGATTTTGGGGAGCGGATATGAAACTCAAATAATTGGAAAATACTAGGGCCTCATATCTTCCTAAATTCATCCATTTTAATATCAATTCATGATATAGACTACACATATTCTAATATAAAGATCAATGTTTCTAAATCGTTTAATAATTTCTCCCGAGTAGTTTTCAAATGTGATATTTCTATACTTCTTCGAAAGAAGCAAACATGCAACGAAGTATTAATTCACAAGAACATCAAAAGGATCGTGAAAAGCTTAGCAGTATACTCTATTCCCTATCAGACTTTACAACGAATTTTACTGTGTGTGTCAATAAAAATTACAAGATTACTCAACTAGTGATAAACTAATTGAAAAATATCAAGTTCTAAACAATCATTCAAAATCAAACGCGTGTTCAATTTTAAAGACTGAAATTAAATATCAAAAGTAGACATCGACGTTAGCCTAGCATCCATATAATTAGTCAAACATTAACTTAATCACAAGAATACGGAAAAAATTAATACAACATCACTCAGTATGAAAGATAGGAATGAAGATGGAAAGAAATTTTGAAAGTTTTGAATCTATTTAATGGCTTCTTGATCAACCTCCTTTAATTCTTCTTCTTCAATCCTAGCAATTGGTGTGTGAAAAGTGGGGATGGATATGTTGTAACAAAGCTTGGAAAGAATATGAATTTGTGGATCAAAACTTCCTTCTTGGCTCTCTGTTTTGAAAGAATGCTTGTAATTTCTACCCTCAATGTCTCTCTTGACTTGAGTAATATTTGTATATTGAATCCCCACACAACCCTTTTAATTGTTCGATGAAGGTACGTATTTATGGGTAAGAATTATGTGAAAATTCATGCCCTAAATTCTAAGAAAATGTTGATCAAAATAAGAATATCAAGTTTTCTCCCAAAAATGTACCACGTGATCCCACCCTTTTCAACGCTACGGTCGCACAATTGAGTAAAATTGCTTTATGCTTATCAATGCCTAGCCCTTGTGATTGCGAGTTTATTGCCCACGATTGCAAGGCATTATTTTGCCTCTCCTTTCACTTTGGTCCCAACTTCTTCTATTGTTTCGACTTAAGTCCTTTAGATTTGCACCTTCAGTTCTTTATATTTAACTCCTTCACAATTTAGTCCTCCAAATCCCACACTTGTTAGTAACTGATTTGATGCGAAATTCAAAGTTTATAATTTAGTCCTCAAACTTTCAGTTGTTAAATTTAACTCTCGAAACTTACAATTTTTTTAATAAATTATCTCTTAACTCTTCTAATTGATCATGTACAATTCGAATGATCATTAAATTTCTCTGAATTACCCGTTATGCTCCAAAATGCTCATTTCACACCAATTGTATTCAAGTTGGATTTTCTCTTACAATTAATAATATTTACACTAAATTAGGTAGATGAATGCTCAATATGCCAATAAATTTTGAGAATAGAAGTTAAAATAAATGCATAATATGCACTTATCACCTATCGGTCACTGAAGTTATAAGCTGTTGGTCACTCGATTACTAAAACTATTGTATAATTTGACGTGGCATCCACTATGTCCCCAAGATATGCCATTTGTATTTCTTGAATAGAGTAAGTGGAAAATTTCTTTCGAAAGATCGAAATTTCTCCTAAGTTGCATTTTAAAGTGGGTTAAGGTTAGATCAAATTTTACGATTAAGTCAAATTACAGATGGATTTTTGAATTTTATCAAATTATCAACATTTTAATGAAACAAATTATAATTGATGGAGGAATTGACAACGTTTAGTTTACCTTGTCCATTATACATTAGTTTCAACGAAGGAGTGCCCAACTCTGAAACCATAAGTTCAATGGTTAATAGGGTTAAAGAATAATTTAAGGACCAATTCAAATTTTGCACAAACTTTAGTGACAATTAGTGAAGTTGACTCATTATATTGATTTTTTCATTAGATTTTTTTTCTATTTTTGAATTACTATCGAGCCAATCACCAAAGGTGGGCAGGACTTGTCACGCTCGTGTTGTACACGAACTATGCTTTTCATGTGTGGTGTCATGTATGCGAGTGCTAGATTGTTTGGAAATGGATAATTCGACACATTTAACATCTTTGGAATATGCTTAGAAAAAGAAAGAAGAAAGAGTGAGTATGAGAAAAAATGTCTGGAAGTGGCACATTTTCCAAAAAATGTATGATGTATTCAAGACAGACTCGACGAGGAAAAAAGAATTTGGGAGAGAAGAAACCCTTTGAAAGAGCACCAAACAAGTGCCTCAACTCAAACCCTGGGATTTATTTTTTCTTGAATGTATCACCATTCTGAAGCATCTACAAATGGAAATTCCAAGTTCATAAAAGCGAGGCAAGAAAGCATAGAAGATCTGCACTTTCTCTATTCCCATGACGAAAATTTGTTTTGCCCTTTTCCATTTCCACCCCATACTTTATTTGTTAAATCTTCATTTTCCCTTCCTCTGTTTTATGAAAGCATGTCACTCTCTTACCTACTTAGGATCAACCCCATAATCCCTGTCCTTCCTTTTTCAGGATTTGTCTCTATCTGATTGCTTTTTCCACAAAATTTACATCAAATACCAAAGTACATTTGATTTGATTAAAAGGGATATCATCTATCAAAAGAAGAAACCAAATAAGAAAAATGGGAAAAAATCAATAACAAATTTATTGCAACAACAATTAACTAATCAAACCACTAGCAATGGAATGATTTGTATTCAGATGAGTAGTTTCATAAACTGGCAATTCTACACAAAATCTGTTATTTCCAAACAATGACAAGTGATCGAGTTCGAATAAATCCGAGCTTGAATCACTTGTTGCATCATCTTCGTCTTCTTCATCATCATTCCCAAGATTGTCGAGAATATTTTTGAACGCGGAGAAATCTCTTGCAGCCTCTTCTGCTTTCCTATTTTTCTCCCTTAGGCTGACTTTTAAGTCTGCAACAACTGTGTTTAATGGCAATTGAGGCCTCCCAAATTTATCAGAATCTTCATCATATATGGATTTATGGCCACAAGGGCGGCAATCCTCATCCACAATTATACTCACCGGATGAAATCTGACCGTTCTTTTGATGCCATTTCGCATTTTCTCCCTTGATTTAGGAGAATATTTGCTCAAACATGACCGTGATAATGATGACGCTGAAGAATAAGTTGGTGAATCCTGTGTGGACTTTGATTTTCTCTCCATGCTTGAATCTTCAAACACTGCATTTTTTGTATTAGGATTTTTCTTTCCTTTCTTCGTATTTGCATTCACGAAAAGGGAGTTGATAAAATTTGTAAGGCGGCCACCAGGTGAAATGGGCTGTTTCACCTTCTTCAAATTGTCATAAATCTTTAAGGCCCTCGATTTCGACTTGATCAAACTCTCATCAATCATATCCGCTTGATGATTTCGATATTCATGAAGCAAATCATACTCATTCTGTTCATGAAACAGATGATTTTTTCGAGGTGAGACGCTGCTTCGGACCGGTTTAGGCCTTGTTACAGAAAAACAAGAAACTCTTGATTTTGATACAGAACCTCCAAAGAACTCTGTATCAGAGGAAGAAGAAAGTGCACCAGAACTGTCTGAAGAATTGGAACTCGAACTAAAGAACGAAACATCATTCTCGTGATTCAATTTGTTCTCCAATTCTGGTAACAAGAATGGCCTTTTTTTAGCAACTACTTTCTCATTTACCTCCTTCTCCATCCACTTCTCAACCAAACAAGCCCTTCTGAAACTCGCCATTTCTTCATCTTCTACAACTTTTGCTTTAGCCTTTGGCCTGCCACCCACTTGCTTTTTCATGGATTTTTCTTTGTATGCCCTCAAATCCTCAGATTTTTCGTCGATGGAACGGTAAATTTCATCAAGAAGGGTAGAAGAAAATGTTGGCATTTTGGGATTTGCTCTAAATTGTTTCTCCCAACTATTCATCTCTTCTCTTGTATGAGTAGATAGAAAAAGAAAGTATGAACAGGGAAAAAAGAGAAGTTTTTGTTTGATGATGAGGCAAAAAGACAGAGAGCAAAACGACACACACTATAATTGGATGAGACTTGAAGCTAAATAGAGGAGGAGAAGGGAAACATTTATAAAGGGCTTGTCTTGTGCGTGCATTATACATTTTATTTGATTGCGTGGCATTCTGATTTTTCGAAATTAAACTAATTGTACATTTTTAGTGTACATTATGGATGATATTGTGTGATGTGTGAACATCTATGACATTAATTTGAACAAGTGTTGTTAAAATAATGATCCAAAGTTCTGACACATCAAAGAATGTCATTCATGATGTCAAAAGTATACATGTAGCAAAATTGGATTTTTCGTAATCACCTCCTCCTTTCAGCATATTATTCACGTACCTCCAAGTATGTTTCTTATGTATTATTGAACATAATTGAACAGTATAATGAATAAGATTTTTAGTTCTATAACGTCTATCTTAGCAAATTAGTCGATATATTCTTTTAAATTTGAATTCAAAGTCTTTTATTCAAAACGAGAAATACAACTTCAACGTATATAGATTTCTTTTTATGTGTTTTTGTGCTTTAAAAAACGAATCGAACATGTCAATTTAACTAAAAAGATATGTACTAGTCTAAACATGAAAAACTTAAAATGTAAACCCTGTTAAAAGCATCTCGAAACTGATTGATTTATTCGAAAATTGGGTGATCCGGAGTCAATTTTACCGATTCATTCGTTTTAAAAAGAAGATTTTTTTTTATTTTATTTTTTACCACCAATTCAACTTTAATTATCCATCATTTACCTTTTTCCATCAATGTCTAAACTTTTTTTTTTATTTTGAAAAACTATTGTTCATTTATAATAAAAAATAGAGATGGCCCTCAATTTAATGAAATGCGAAGAAGACTAAATTACTTGATTTTAAATTTATGAAGAATAATGTTTATATTTCTCTTCCTTATATCTTAGCTCTTGGGGCAATGACTGAGCTAGTGAGGATCAAATCGAGACATGTCTATTGTTGGTTGAAAAATATTCCCGAACCCACTCTTCTGATTGGCTTCGCCCCTGGCCGTCCAGAATTTTTGGAAAGGGCTCCCTTAACCGGGTCAAGCCATAAGGAAAAAAATGAAAAATAAGGGCAAAAAATCTTTTTCTTTCTAATTTTATATGGTAAAATATCTTATCCCACTGTTTGGTAGGGATTATAATAAGATTTTCAGTAGATTTTGATAAAAGATGATGAATTATGTTGTTGAAAATTTGTAAAATCCATAAAATATATTATTAAAATTAATTATTGATTTTTAATTTAGATTAAAATTTGAATTTTAACACGTACAAGGGGGAGTAAGAATAATGTTGTTACACCTGAATAAAAGTGGGGCCATGCTATTTTGGTGGGGGTAGAGATTCTTACTTTTGGAAGTGGCAATTACAGGATCAGTACTGGAAACTGGTAAGTGTACTAATAGTAATTATACAACATACATTCTTTTGAAAAGTAAAGTTGACCACTTTGGAAGTTGAGAAATTCTAAGGGCTTTAATGTGAACAGATGGAATGTACTTAGTAAACTTAGTTTTTAATTCAGATTAATAGCAGAAAACCTCTCTAAAAACGTTTTAAAATCACGATATATTCCCTACTTATTGAAAATCGCATTAAAAAAAAAAAAAGCCTCCTATTTGAAATGGGACATTACACAAAACGTGCCGCCGCATCTTTGCTGAGAACTATTGTACAGATTATCCACACATGTCATTCAATGGAGGTCATTCATAGGGATATCAAGCCAGATAACTTCCTTCTTTTAAATAAGGATGAAAATGCACTATTAAAGGCAACAGACTTTGGTTTATCCGTCTTCTTCAAAGAAGGTTACAATTTTCCATAAAGTTTCTTTGCTTTATTCTCAATATTTCAATAAATTATTCGCAGATGTATTTGAAGACGTTGTGGACAGTGCATATTATTACATAGCACCTGAAGTGTAGAAGAGAAGATGTGGACCGGAGGTAGATATTTGGAGTATTGGGGTCATGTTGTACATTCTTCTATCTGGAGTTCCTCCTTTCTAGGCAGGTATTTCATTAAAAAAATTCTCGGAATTTTCACCTTTTCATATGGAAATTGTACCTCAATTTGATCATATGTATTGCTATTTCGGTGTAGAATCAGAGCATGGAATCTTATCATATGTACCACTATCACTGTTTTGATTGAAAATGGAAGATTTTGGGTTGGGTTGGGTTGGGTTGGGCATGGGTGATATGAGGGGGGTTTGAGAGAGGAGTAGAAATGGGGCATAATTTTGTAGGTTTTTTGTGTTTGGTTTGGGGTGGGATGTGGTGAGGGTGAGGGTGGGGGTGGGGGTGGTGATTGGGTGGAAGATAAGTTCTAAAGGTTTGAATTCATGGATGATACAAATAAAATATTTTGATGTGATTTGTTAAAAAATAAATAAAAAAGTTTAGGATCACAACTGTAATTATTTCTTTGTAATTCTTGCAATTTTTACTATTTTTAATAGTAAAATTAATGGAATTGGACGGTAGGGGAGTTTTGACACAAAATATTTCAAATATGGGGATTTTCTGCGATTTTCATTAGGTATGGGAGATATTTCGCAATTCAAAACGTTTTTAGGATTTTTTTTTGCTATTAATCCTTTTTAATTTTTATTGGATTATTAATGATGGAATTCCATGAGGATGTTATATTTTGGTTGAGAGCGACACCAACTGTTGAGAGCATTTGATATCTTCATACACGAGGATGCAATTTCATATGGTTTTCCATAGTACAAGCTACTACTCTTGTAGATCTCGTGAATTCGTACAGTTGATAAGTAGTAAATAAGATTAGGCTCCGCTTGGGAGCCATTCTTTTTTCAAATAATACATTTTTTCTTTCACATCAAGTGGGGTTCATGGCTGAAAAGAGACACAAAAAAAGTGTGATTTGACACAAAGAATGCATTTTTATATAGAAAGATGGTTACCAAACGGAGGCTAAGTCCTTGTTTGGTATCAATTAAAATTTAAATTAAAGTCAATAATTAATTTTAACCACATATCTCATGGGTCTCATAACTTTTCAACCACACTTTCATCAACTTCCATTAAAATCTACTAAAAATCTTATTTTAATTCCCACCAGTCTCATGGGTCTCATATCTTATTGAACGTGACTAAAAGTTTTAACGTCATGCCAAGAAAAAGAGGATAAGTTCATGTTCTATTATAATGGCAAGACATGTTTGGAACCAGGATTTGTATTAATAAATTGAGAATTTGTATGTATTAAAATCATCGCCCTACCAACTTATACATGGTGAAGACATCTTACTTAACTATGATTACTTATTATTCCAAACTACCAATTGAATTTGAAAAATACAGAGTGGTTGAAGATTAAAACAGTCATTTCACACCACTCTGGTCCTTTTGTTTATTTCTCTTTTTCTTTTTAAAATATTTACACCATAAATTTTAATTGCAACCTATGACGAATAATGTGATAATTTGTGTTTGAATCTAATTTTGAGGAGAATAGAAATTTTGGAATAGTGATTGATGTGAGAATGTGTGGTGGAAAAGTAATGAAAAGTTTTTGATTTGTGTGTAATAGTATTTTATTTGGAGAATGTGTGGTTGAAATGAAGAATGAGAATGAGAATG